TAGGCGAAAGAAAGCTAAGCAAGCTTACACTTTATCAGTCTGTCTACTAGCCTTGTCTAACTAGCCTTCAAACTACCCATACACCTAGCCTTCTTTCATTTAACAAAGCCACTCCATCAAATTTTCATTCTTCCTATCTCATTCCATTCAATATAACTTCTCGATCAATATAGCCAAGCCAGGCTATTTCGATCCTCAAATCAGTCATATATATCTTATCATCCAACTGAATACGTCTTCTTGTTTTTCTTTTCATTGCTTAAATGTTTCTTTTATTTTTCTTATTTATGTTAATATTTGATGATATGAGTCCCATACAACCTCTTAACACCTACATCCAGATTATCATTCACAAGGTTTTGATTAATGAACTTACCTGGTAACTGTGAGTAACAATACCACCGAAGGTTCGAAGATGCGTCTATCGATAACATTTTTACAATCACTCGGCTTCAGAATAGTAACCGGTAAAGTTTCGATTATTTAAACTGACATATAAATGTGATTTTTTCAGGTGGTACTACTACTTGTCATGCTTCTTTATTCAATCAAGTGAAATCCAAAAAAAAAAACGAAAACAAAAGAGCTGCTCCAATCCACATCATCCTCTTTTTCATAATTGATATTCACAATGAATAATCACATTTCGAAGATCACTTCAACAATTCTTGATACAATAACAAAACAGTACAAACGCTGCTGATGCAATGATAAAATCATGAATTAACATCGTTATTAAGTTAGAGCTTAATGATAAAGTAGAGATGAGTGAGGCAAAAAATATATAATTAACAGTAAAAGTGCCCTAAATGAGACAGTCAAAAAGGAATGCAGTGCACTACGACACAATAGATGTATTCCAATAGAATTCAAAAACAGATTTCATAAAATCTGAAAAGAACCTTATATATTACAGTCATAACTTGCGAGAATGGAGTTTCTTATATTGTCCTGAGTAGATTTCTTCGACTGGTGATAACAAAATTCTATGGATTATAAATTGCATGGTTTTTTGTACATGAAAACAGTTCACACATATATTATCAAAATCGATACTTTATGACGTCAAATATCTGGATAGAACTGGCAACAGGATATATCATTACTATTGTAGACCCGTTTATGATTTCTCATCTTCGCCATCAATCAATTTTGTCAATGAACAGAAGTTGCTGTCAGAATTATGCATAATCGAACCTTTCTGTATTAAAGTTGGAGGAATAAAAATTAATTTAATCTCAAAGAAATTGCCTTTAACACTAAAATAAGACTAAAATTCAATCAATTCGAAGTCTTTTGCGAGGAATTTGTGACGTTTGCGCCAGTGCTACCCGCTGTTGCGAATGACGAGGATTACCTGAGGTCCCACCAATAACAGTTACTGGGCGCAAAGGCCGCTCCTGAAGCCAACGCACTTGAGTTGCTGGTCCATAACCCTGAAACAAATGTTCCTATTGCTATAAGATACACATTATGATTAAAAATTCTTGTATCACGCAACAATCATTGGATATTTATAACATAAGCGCTAAGAAAAGTGAACTAAGTATAGTTAATTGGAATTTTTGTTAAAGATATTAGAAAAAAAATTCACCTTATCATTACGCGCTGCTATTCGGAATATGATTGCGGGCTTAGAAGATTTATCGATATGCGCAGCATGTAAATTGGCTAATGAAACGATACAGAATGGATTGGGACCAACATAAACACGAATGAATGAAAGCGGAGTTTCACGACCGTGAATATTGCGAATCGCCAAATACACACTATATTCCGTCACCTTGCCTGAAAAGCAACTGTTTAAATTGTAAATCAAACACGAAATGGTTAACTTTAAAATAATGACCAAATAACGGAATAAATTTAAAAAAGATGGTTAGAAGACGGCTATGACAGGTATGCCAAATATCACTGAAGTCTTTGCACTAATGTTCCCAAATGGATTAAACTGAATAAAAATAAGGAATTCTTTTCTACTATTGAGCATGAAAATTCACCGGCAGTGGTTTGTGGTGGATCCCAAGTTAGATGTGCTCCATTTTGACTCTTCGTCACTTTGATATTGGAAGGAGCACCGGGATAGCCAGGAAGACAAGTTTTAAAAGCAGTTACCTGAAGAGTATAGTAATGAATTAAAAAATTGATTTTTTACTTCTTAAAAAATTCAGTTGTTAAGATTTCCACAAAATAGATTTAAAAAATGACAATAAAGTGAATAATCAACGAAACAAAAATTAATCGAAAATTGAGAGAATAACAAATCTTACATAACAGTTTACCTCCGACCAATTGCCTTGACCGCAGGCATTTATGCCA